GACTGCAGGTGTGCATCACTGCACCCAGCTATATTCTTATTTTTAATGATCAAAATCATAGAACAAATGTTTACTCTTAAATCCTATTTAGCGATGACTTTGTGTAGTACTTGACATAGAGTTAAGTCATCACAGTGTCTGGTTTTTAGCTCTTCCGCTCTTAGACAACATAAACGCAGACAGTCATGAAAGGGCTGCCCAGCCCACGCTCCCACCTCTGAGCCCTTACATAAGCTCTGCCAGGTTTACCTTCCTGCTCCGGATTGATTTCTCCATAGAGGACCTTGCCTCCTGCTTTGCTGAAAAATCAGAAGCATGAGGCAGGAACTGCCTCAACTTCCCACTGCCAAATCTCAAGTCTCCTGAATCCAGCTTCCCACTATGCCCTTCCCCTCATCCAGGTGGAGCAGTCCCTCAAGGCCAGCCCCCCCAAACCCTTTTACCTCTTTCCTCCTGCCTTCTCAGTACACTTGCATTAACTCCAGATCACTCTGTATTTTCAACCTCACTTTTTCCCGGATTCTTCCGATTGACATCGGACTATGTTCAAAATTCATTAAAGATAAGAAAGTGAAGATCCTTTTATCCACCACTATTAATAAGGAAGCAGGTTTGACTGCTATAAAGGTCCCAAATAATCGAATCCACTTAAAAAACTTAAACAAGATGGAAGTTTACTTATTTGTCACATAAGCTGGCAGGGCGGTACCTCAGGAGCAGGGACTTCAGCTCCTTAAGGGTCCTCACTCTGCCATTCCCAGGGGTGGCCTTGTCTCCACAGTTCATGATAACTTTCACTGCTGTAAGCAGCATCGGGAAAGAGGGATGGGGAGATGGAGAGCCCTATCCCATGAGGGTATGACTTCCACTCACCTCCCAACAGGCCAGAATTTAGCAACATGGCCATGCTCAGCTGCAAGGAACGCTGGGGATCAGAGCCATTATTCTGGTACCCAGTTGACATCGTTTGAATATTTGTCCCTGCCCAAATCTCGTGTCGAAATGTAATCCCCAGTGCTGGAGGCGGGGCCTGGTGGGAGGTGTGTGGAGCATGGGGGCGGATCCCTCCTGAGTGGCTTGGATCATCTCCTTGGTGATAAGTGAGCTCACACTTCAGTTCACACAAGATCTTTTCTTTATAAATTAGTGAACCAATTAAACCTCTTTTCTTTATAAATTACCCAGTCTCAAGTATTTCTTGACAGCAATACAAGAATGCCTTAATATACTAGTTAAACATAGAGGCTCTATTACTGTACCAGGAGTGAGAATAGGTATAGAGTACAGCAAGCAAGTCTGCTCCCACACACCATATCCCCGCCAAGACAGCCCAATCTCTATTTTCTCCTCACCCCAAGTTTTCAAATGAGTTGTCCACACTCATCATCTCTACTTCCTCTCTGTGTTTGTTTTCCACATAGATGAGAATTCGCAAAAGTGTTTTGAAGCAAGGGAGAATGTTTTTTCTTATGTCAGGTGGGTAATGTGCTGACATATAACAATGTTTGAGGGAGGCACATCTCACTCATAAGCACGAAAACCCAGTCGTTACACGTAACTGCAAAAAGATCAGAGAGAATATTACACAACTTCATTCTGTGAAGGTGGGACTAGGGGTGGGTTGATCTGCTTAAGAAGACCTGGAAGGTGAGGTCCAGGGAGCTAAGTAAAGCCATGGAAGGAGACGTTGTTGTCCAGGAATGGGCTGAGTCAAGGAGACAACCAGGAGGCAACCCATGCTGGGGACTGAGAGAATTGGATCTTGTGTGAAACTGAAGGAAGGAAGAGAGCACACACATGGTGGGAAGAGGGGATCAGACAAGGGTCGGGGAGGCAGATGGGAGGCAGTGAGGGTGCCTTTAAATTCCTGATCTCATGCTTTGTAAATGTGGTGATGGGGGTGCCTTTTCACGTGGTACCAACTGTGCTTTCCCAGAATGGGGTAGCTCCTTAAAGGAGACATACAGAGAAGGACGAATTTTTTTTTTTTTTTTTTTTTTTTTTTTTTTTTTGAGTCAGAGTCTTGCTGTGTCACCCAGGCTGGAATGCAATGGCACGACCTCGGCTCACTGCAACCTCCGCCTCCCGGGTTCGAGTGATTCTCCTGTCTCAGCCTCCCGAGTAGCTGGGATTAGAGGCGCGCACCACTGTGCCCAGTTAATTTTTTTTGTATTTTTAGTAGGGACAGGGTTTCACCATATTGCCTAGGCTGGTCTTGAACTCCTGACCTCAAGTGATCCACCTGCCTTGCTCTCCCAAAGTGCTGGGATTACAGCTGTGAGCCACCGCACCCGGCCAACAAAATTCTTATGTGCATTAATTTTTCTCCACTTAGATCTGTTCATACTTATGGTGTTTATTAGGTAACCCATGCTTGGAGCATTGCAGATGAAACTTATGAAATCTTGGAAAACATAGCCTTCCATATCAATGCAAAGCACACATAAAGATAAATCTGGGGTCCAGGCGTGGTGGCTCACTCCTGTAATCCCAGCACTTTGGGAGGCCGAGGCGGGCGGATCACCTGAGGTCAGGAGATCGAGACCAGCCTGGCTAACAAGGTGAAACCCCGTTTTTACTAAAAATACAAAAAATTAGCCAAGCGTGGTGGCGCGTGCCTGTAATACCAACTACTCAGGAGGCTGAGGCAGGAGAATCGCATGAACCCCAGAGGCGGAGGTTGTAGTGAGCCGAGATTGTACCATTACACTCCAGCTAGGGCAACAAGAGCAAAACTCCATCTCAAAAAAAAAAAGAAAGAAAGAAAGAAAGAAAGAGAGAGAGAAATCTGGATAATTTCTGAGTCACACTGCCAGGGATCAAATCCTGACTTCTATACGAATTCCCTCTGTGACTTTGGGCAAGTGACTTCACCCCTCTATTCTTAATTCATAAAGTGGAGATAGTAAGAATACATCTAGTTCCAGCAAGGTTGTTGAAACTAACGTAAAACTCAATCCAAATGGGCTTTAACAGGAAAAGGGAAATTACAGGCTTACGTAATTCAAAAGATCTAATGGTAGCCTTCAAGTCTGGTTTGATCAAGGCTCCGGTTCAGTTTCTCTGAGATTTCCTTTGACTTTGATCATAGTAGCAAATTGGGTAGGAACGCAGATTTCCCTTTGCACAGCCTGCCATCTAGGAAAGGATGTTCACACCCAGAATTCCTGGCCGTGCTTCCAAGACTCAGTCTAGCTGGACTGGAATGGCGACCACCCACAGAATCTCACCGTGGGCAGGGTTGATGAGCTGAGCCTAGGGCCATACCCCACCCCTGGAGCCAGGTATGGAATTGGCTTCCCTGGAACCCGCTGGACTCCTTTCAGAAGTCAGAGGCTGCTGGGAAGAAGGAAGGGAAAATACAAGCACGGGAAGCAAGCTAGAGGAATTGTTACTGACCACAGGTTCTTAGGCGCCCATGCAATAGAAATCGACAGGAGGCCAAACAAGTTTCCCAGACAAGACTTCATGGGAACTTGTGCTCCAACACAAGGAAACTAGCCCAGAAGCAAGAGTTCTTGGCTGGCCCCACTTAGGGGAGTGCCTTTCAGTGTCTTAAGGAGGGTGACATGCATAATTCATGAGGTGGGTGAGCCTCACTACATGTGTGGGGTGGAGTGCAGGGTATGCAGGCATGGTAAGGAATCATGCCAAGACATACTGTTGCATGAGCAGAAAACAGCAGATAAGCCCTCCCCTGGGCAGGGATTTTAGTATTATAATGAGGCAAGGGGCAAAGATCATTCTTCTGATCTTATGTGCATGCAGGCTGTGGGATTAACTCCCTTGAGTAAGATTTAGGGTGGATGCTGCTTATCTTAGTTTCTTCAAGGTTGCAAGGTCAGCAGGGATGCGCTGGAGTGATGGTGGTGCAAAGTCTGCTAATTGACAGGTGTGGGAGTTGGGGCCTCATCCCGGTGAGGGCCGAGTCCTGTCCCTATGCTGTGTCACAATCTGCTATATCCATGCACATTGTTTTGACCCAGGACTCCTCCCCCAGCAGTTATGGCCTTCTGGTGTCCTAAGTTAACTGTAAAGAAGCAAACATCGAGCTAGTTTGTCATGGGAAATTTTGACAGACTCAGAAAGAAAAAGGCATTCTAGGTCACAGCAATGCCATGTCTACACTCATTTCCAAGAGCCACATTGTAACCCACATGTGTATTGGTTGTGAAACTCTTAAACTCTTTCTCCAGGGCCAGAGTATGACTTCCGTGGGTCTCCATTTTTGCCTTCGTGGTCCCTTTCTTCTACAAAAAGTACTAAAAACTGTATTTTATTACTAAGTTGATACTGACAGAGTTCAAGACATAGTATCCACAAATATAGCACGCTGGCATTTGAGAAAACAGCAGAAGCAGGAAGGTCACTCTCACCTTCTCCGCACTGTCTCCCTGAAGAGGGCCTTAGAGAATTATCTGACCTTCCTCCGAAGAAAACCTTCATTCCAGAGGTGTCCTTCCTACACCCAAGGAAAGGAATGTCCTTTTCTCTGAAGACACAGGAACACAAAAAAGAATCTAAACAGGCCTTGCTAAGTCCTTTCCAGTTTAATAGCATTAGATCATACTTTTTTATCCTCCAGTCATACTTCTGCATGGCTGTCTATAAAATACACAGTTTTTTCCTGTTTCTTTGGGCCTTCATTTCTGAGTGTGTTCCCATGTTACATAATTTTTTCTTTTTCTTTTTCTTTTTCTTTTTTTTTTTTTTTTTTTTTTAGAGAGAGACAGGGTCTCACTCTGTCACCCAGGTTGGAGTGCAGTGGCACAATCATAGCTCACTGCAGCCTCAACCTCCTTGGCTCAAGTGATCCTACAGCCTCAGCCTCCAAAGTAGCTGGGACTACAGGTGTGCACCACTGCACCTGGCCAACTTTTAAAATTTTTAGTAGAGACGAGGTCTGGCTATGTTACCTGACTGGCCTTGAACTCCTGGGCTCAAGTGATCCTCCTGCCTTGGCCTCCCAAAGTGCTGGGATTGCAGGCATAAGCCACTTTGCCCAGCCCACATAAAATTTGTATTAAATAAATTTGTGTGCTTTTCTCTTGTTAATCTGTCTTTTATTATAGGTGCCTCAGCCATGAACCTTGTGATGAGTGAGAAGCCTTTCTCCCCTACAGTATGTCTGTATTAACATTATATATTAAAACATTGCCTTCTAGTTAAAAAAAAAAAAATTGAAACATTTTCATGAGCCACTAAAAGTATCACGAGCTCTGGACTCTGCTCCAGCTGTGCCCAATAGATGGTTCCGCCCTGCCTTTATTCCCAATGCACCACAAGAGAAAAGTTTCAATGTGCACCTTGCAGAGAATTTCATCTTCTTTATGTTACCCACGGCATTTTCTGAGCAGCTTTCCTGGAGCTCCGTCTGCCATCTTGCTTATGAAAACCCTAAGTTGTGTAACGCTTACCTGACAGAATGGTAATCCAGATCTCCTTCAGGCTACAGGCAGATGGAGGCCTGCAGAGATGGCCGGAAAATAAGTAGCTGGAGTCCTAAAAGAATGGAAAGGAAAGTGTTCTGTGCAGTGTTCAGGCACTGAAGCTGTCCTGTTAGTGAATGAGGAAACAGGAAGAACCCTAAAATGATCCCAATGGCCTGCACACTTTCCTTCCTTCTGTTAAGTTTCTATAATCTTGAGTAGGTTCATCCTTTTATTAAAAAGTTTAATAAGCCAGGCATGGTGGCTCACACCTGTAATCCCAGAACTTTGGGAGAAGGCGGGTGGATCCTTTGAGCCTAGGAGTTTCAGATCAGCCTGGGCAACAAAGTGAGACCCTGTCTCTTAAAAAAAAAAAAAAGAAGAAGAAGCCGGGCGCGGTGGCTCACGCCTGTAATCCCAGCACTTTGGGAGGCCGAGGCGGGCAGATCACGAGGTCAGGAGATCAAGACCATCCTGGCTAACATGGTGAAACCCCGTCTCTACTAAAAATACCAAAAAAAAAAAAAATTGCCAGGCGAGGTAGCGGGCACCTGTAGTCCCAGCTACTTGGGAGGCTGAGGCAGGAAAATGGCGTGAACCCGGGAGGCAGAGTTTGCAGTGAGCCGAGATTGGGCCACTGCACTACAGCCTGGGTGACCAAGCGAGACTCTGTCTCAAAAAAAAAAAAAAAAAAAAAAGTTTAACCAGCCTGGGCAGGCTAGGTTATGCTGTGGTAACAAATGAGGCCAAACTCTCAGTGCTTAAAACCACAAAGATTTATTTCGCATCCATTCTACATGTCCTTCTTGGGGTGGCTGGGGGCTGGCCTCCATGTCCTCCTCACTCGGAGACCCTAGCGGATGGAGTGGTGCCATCTGGAACCAGGACAGCAGTAGTGGTAGGAAGAAGGAAAATGTGGCAAATTGCAAATTGGTGGGTGAGCCCGCCACTGGGAAGTGACCTGTGTCACTTCCACTCGCTTTTCTTTGGCCTCCAACACTGATTCAGAAGGCGGGGAATCAGACGATTCCACCATGCTTCCAGAGGGGCAGAATGAGAATACGCGATGGCCAGCCTCAATGATTGCTGCAATAATTTTCATCTTTTTTTTCTTTTCCTTTCATTCTTACAAACCTTGCACATGGTGACCAATAGCTCCATTCTAGGGTGAAGGAAACAGCCTGAGTCTCTGATGTGGCTGGGGACAGGAAATGCACCCACCTGCCAAGCTGCTGGTGACACCTGGTGGCAGCCCGGAAGCCCCAGACTCCTGAGGGAGGAGCAGTGTCCCTATTCTCCAGCCTCCAGGTGAGAGTTCCCAGCACTGGCCGGGTCTGCTGGGCTGTGCAGGTATCTGGGGGAGAGGACTGAGGAGTATGAAGGCCAAGGGCTCCCTGGGAGGGAAGAGAAGCTTTCTCCAGAGACGTTCACAGGGCGTGGGATCTTTAGTAGTAAAAGGAATGCAACCTGGCTTCTTGCTCCCAGCAGGTGAAGCCAGGCGTATTGTGACGTGCGGCAATCTAAATGATAAAATACCTTATGGACACGGTTGGGAAGTACAGATATTGACATTACATCATGTCCATTACATAAACTAAGTGAAAAAAGGTAGATACAAAAATTAGACTGCAACGGACAGTTTGAAAAGAACGAGGTGTGTGTGTGTGGAGCAGATGTGAATCAGTCCACAAACTCTATGAGCAAGACGTATTTGATTCCTTTATTTCCTTTTAATCAATTTAGTCCTGCCTCTGAGCTCTCATTCATCCCGATGAAAATTTGTCCCCAGTTATTTTTAGGGTTTCCCACTGCCATGGTTGTGGTGGGGTCTCTCGTCCATAGCTGCAAAACACCGGCATTGTCCTGTGATTTTTGAGTCCACGGATACAGCCGTCTTCCACTCCACACAGTCCCCGGAAGCCCCGCATCTGGCTGGGGTACACAAATCAACCTTGGTGGGCCCGGAGACTCGATTCCTCAGAGGCACGCTCTGCAGATGTCACCCCTGAAGTCTTGCCACCCACCCCGCCCATTCTCACCTTTCCTTTCTCCCTTCTTCCCTAACTCTCTCCCACGTGCCCCTCAGGACACATACTCTTGAATGAGTTTAAGTTTTTCGAGAGGAATTAGTACATCAGCCTTGCTGAAATAATCAAATAAGGGGATATCAACATGGAAACCAGAAACTGGAAAATTCCCCCACTGGAACTCTTAGAAATGCTGAGCTTTCAAGAAATAAACAGGAAAAGGAAAAGAAGCCACCAGGTACCGAGTCCAGAGCTAAGACTTTATCCTGCTTAGGGATACAAGAAGCACTGGTGAGTAATGACACAGGTAGGCCAGGGGGTAAATCTTGAAAACCATTATTTCTAAAACTAATTTTGCATATATACAAATGAGATGGGACTAAAATACTGGATAACAATAATATGTAAGATGGGAGAATAATGGCCTGGTTCAATATTTTAATACCATTGAATCATTTAGGAGAGGAATAAAGACGTTAATTCACTTTATATTTCATAATATCAAATATGCATGTTCAAAACTTAGGATAATTATTAAAATAATAAACATTGGCTGGGTGCGGTGGCTCACGCCTGTAATCATAGCACTTTGGGAGGCTGAGGCAGGCAGATCACTCCAGGCCAGGAGTTCGAGACCAGCCTGGACAACATGGTGAAACCCTGACTCTACTAAAAACAAACAAACAAACAAACAAACAAAAACTACAAAAATTAGCCAAGTGTGGTGATGTGTGCCCATAGTCCCAGCTACTCAGGAGGCTGAAGCACGAAAATTGCTTTAACCTAGGAAGCGGAGGTTGCAGTGAGCTGAGATCGCACCATTGCACTCCAGCCTGAGTGACAGAGCAAGTCTTTGTCTCAAAGTAATAATAATAATAATAAACATTGAGTGTACCTCTTCCACAGGGAAAGGAGCTTAAATAAAGCCGGATTTCCATCTGAAAAGGGAGATGGAGGGAAAATATGGGCAATAACATATGAAGTAAGAGTCAGAAAAAAATCTGTACATATAAATAGATGTATATGGAATCACCTCATAATGTTACAGTGGTTATTTATGGAGAGTGAGGTTGCAGGTGAGTTTTATTTTCGACCCCACCTCTGGTACTCACGACCTTTGTGTGGCATTCTCCCACACTGTAACAGGGCGAGTTTGGGTGACCTAAAGAATACAGCAGAAGTGAAGGTTCGTCACTCCCCACTGAAGCTATAAAGGGCTGTGGTTTCCGTCTTGGACACTGTCTCTCTTGCTTTTTCTCTCACATCATTTATTCTTAAGGGAAATTTTGTCCTGAGAAGTCCTATAGAGGGGCCCAGCCCTGGCCTCCTGCCAACAGCCACATGAGTGAGCTTAGAACCAGATCCTAGCAGACCATTGGTGCCATCCATCTGTAGTCCCAGCTAGTTGGGAGGCTGAGGCTAGAGGATTACTTGAGCCCAAGAGTTCAAGGCAGCCGTGAGCTATGATTACAATGCTGAAAAAGCAGCAGATCCTGCAATCTGCCAAGCCTTCACATGAGAATAGCCCTGACAACATCTGGTCTGCAACCTCCTGACAGTCCCTGAGTCAGAACGACCGGGCATATTTCAGACGAAACCATAAAAGGGGAAGGAAAGAAAGAACCACCCGGCTGAGCTGCTCTCAGTGATTGTGAGATAACAGATGTTTGATATTTTAAGCTGCTAGGTTTTGGAGATAACCTGTTACATAGCAACAAATAACCAACACAGTATTTTCCCCGCAATTTTCAACTTCTATATAATGTACATACATTGCCTTACAACCAGAAAAAAATGTTTTAAAGATCAAGCAAATCCTTCATTCCAGTGTGATACAGGACAACCTGTTCAGTTGTCTGATTACCATCACTGCTTTGCACATCTGTACCCACTGAAGTCCATGTGGTAAGACACCAGCTACACACCAGGGAGGCCTGAAGAGGGTTTGATCTTAACTTGGTTTTGCCAGAGACCTTGGTGTTGCAAAACATCCCATAAAAAGGGATGATTCTTTTCATGTGTTGCAGGTCTTGCAAATGTAGCTAAAAATTAGTTAATTCCCTCAGGAAATTGGATAACTTTTAAACTTGGTTAACTGCCTCAAATGTCATATAAAGTAATAAATACCATATGACTATTACCAATAGCTACACTTTGTTTATAGAGGATTTTCTTTTTCTTTTTCCTTTTTTTTTTTTTTTTAAGAGATTTTTTTTAGAGACAAGGTCTCCTTCGTGTCACCCAGGCTGGAGTGCAGTGGTGCAATCATGGCTCACTGCAAACCTCAACCTCCCCAGCTCAAAATGATCCTCCCAGCTCAGCTTTTGGGCACCTGGAACTACAGCATGTGCCACCAAACCCAGACTTGGATTTCACAAAATTGGAAACATTTTTCTTTGAAGGTCAGTGGGCCTAGAACAAAATGTGGCATGGTAAGAGAATGCTGTCCTTGAACCTGAAGCCTTCCCTCTGCCAGGAACAGCTCTGTGGCTCTGCAACAAGTCACTTTGCCTCTCTGGTCCAGTTTCCTCCAGATGTAAAACAGTAGTGTTGAATATACTATCTCTAAGGACTCCAAAATGTGTTACCCTATAATCTTGCTTTAACCTACCATGGGTATTTTGGCTCTGGAATGACAA